CTGCTGTCGCCAGAGGTGACTAACGCGGGGCTGTGCCATCATGGAGCCATTGCTCCCGTGAGCTGTGGTTCCTGAAGTGCAGGTGTGCACGGGAGGAGGAAAGCTTTGCTGTGTGGTCTTTTTCTCACAGCTGCAAAAACCTGTCTTTTGCAGATTAAGGCAAACTTTGAGACCAACCTTAACCTGGCATTGAAGAATTACAACACAACAGTGGATCAGCACAGTGATGCAGTTGACACCATCCAGAGAACAGTGAGTGCCTGTGTCTGGCTTCTGACTCATGGTGGGTAGGTATGCTTGTATCGTCCAGACACGTTCAACACCCAGCGCGTTACTGATTGGGATATTCCTTTCTGTCATGGTGCTGGATGTTCTTTTGTACCACAGGGAATTTATTACAGGGTGCTAGTGATGAGCATGTTGGGTCTTCCTGCTGTTCTCCAAAGCCATAGCAGCTTTCCCTTCCCTTGCTGCCTGCAGGAGAGACAAGTGGGAACACGTGGAAAGCATGTGTTCTGTTAGGGGCCTGCATGCGTTACCAGGAGGGTCTCTAGTGAGAGCACCCAGTGTTGGCAGTGTGTGGAGCAGAGGCATCTGCTGTCCCTGTGTTTGGGAAGTTGTCCCAGCAAGGGTCACAGTGTGTTTGAGTTTGGGAGGGATGCCATTTTGGGGAAGAGACATTGGACAGCAGCATGAGATTAGGGGGCAGTTTCTAGATGGCTCCCAGGTTGCTGAGAGGTGAGGGCACTGGGGAGCTGCAGAACTGAGTGGCTGTAGGACTGGCAGCTGAGTGCCCTGCCACGACCATGCCTTTTCCCTCCTTCACTCCTCTGCAGCTCCACTGCTGTGGGATCCAGAACTACACGGACTGGGAGAAGACTAAATACTTTGCCCAGAGGGGGATCCCTCAGAGCTGCTGCAAGAGCCAGGACGACTGCCCCGAGGGGGATCTGAAGGACCTGAGCAAAGCCAAACTGAAAGTGTTTGTGGATGTGAGTGAAGCTCATAAAAATCCCCCTGCAAATCCTGGAGGTGAGGAAGGGAGAGATGAGGGCATAGAGAAGGGCTTGGCCTTCATCAGGGAGCCTTGAAAGGAGAACTGCTTTTGAGGTAAAGACATCCTGTGGCCTAGGGTTCACTCTCGGGGGTGAAAGGGAAGGATGTATAGGAGCTGGCCTAACCTCATTTCTGAAATCCCCCCTAGTCCTGCACCCTCAACATCAGGGACTGGTGTGAGAGAAGCCTTTGCACTCAGGGATGTGTTTTAGAGAACAAGTGAATGAGGAGGTAGTTTTCTGATAAAGTTTATTTCAGTAGCCTGACGTCTCTTGACTGCTGTGCAAAGTCCTGAGCCGGTGATGAGAACAGGTGACTTCATCCAGCAGGGATCGTTGGGTGATGTACGCAAGGGGGTAATGCGAGGGACGTTCCTCTGATGAGTCACTGTGTTTAACCAAATGCTCAAGTTGAGAAAACCCCAAGGACACCGCTCCCTTTGATAACTGGCTGGGCTGAAAGGCCGATTAGTACGGTGCTGATACTGAAATGACTTTGCCCAGGTCAGACAGTCTAGCAGGGAGCCAGGAACCCTGGACTTCTTGCTTGGGCTCCTGCTCCGGAGCAGTTTCCCCTGGAGCTGTGTGTGCTTTGGGGAAGTGCTGCTTTGTGCTTGTGGGAGCGCTGGACTTGCATGCTAACTTTCTCTCCCCTGCAGGGTTGTTTTTTCCTTGTGACATCAAAAATGGAGTCAAAAATGAGCGTTGTGGCTGGAATCTCCTTTGGCATTGCGTGCTTCCAGGTAAAATCTCCCTTGCTGTCTGGCACAGGAGTAGTGCTGAGTGAAGATAGCGTGTCTCCAGAGGTATTTTAATTTTTGTGCAGGGTTTGTTATGTTTACAAAAGGCACGGCCTGTTTCAGCCACGGAGGAACAGCTATTCTGCAGATTCCCCTTGTGCTTAACCTCGCTGTTGTGCAGTCTTCTGTCTCGGAACCCGAGGCTGAAGTACCAGCTCGGTTTCCATGAGCCCGAGTTACTTGAGAAGAACTTCCTCCTGAAACAACTGACTTTAAGAAAAGCCAAAACAGCCAAACAGAGCCCGTGTTGTCCTGAGTGAACACTTAGCATTTTCTGTTGGCAGAGATCAAACTAGTGCCCTTCCTTTTCCTACCCACCAGTATTCCCTTTTAGCAGGGAAGTGTTTCGGAATCACTTTTCTGTATGGCTGGGTCCCCCAGAGCACCCACATGGTGTCACTTGTGCTAATGGCTCTGACGGACAGGACCTCACACTCTACATACTACCTTAACCTGCTATTGCTTCTTCCCCCTCTGGCTCCTCAACCTCTAGTTTACTTTATCCTGTAGGACACTTCCTGCATGGGCTTCCAGCAACAATGTAGTTAGTGTCCTGTGATCTGACAGGCTTTATTCTAGCAGGAAATGAGAGGCCTCTGCCCCTGAGCTCCTTGCTAAATTGGGCTTTGTGCAGGGTGAATGCCATGGTCTGGATTTCCCAAGGAGCTGTGCACAATGGGGGCTGAGCACTTGGGAAAACTGGAACTGAGGTTTCACAGTGGGAGCTGCTGGATACGCAACTGGCCCTTATTTAGCTGATTTCTGAAAACTCACTCGGCTCTAGGTGCTGAGCACTTGCTGAGCAAACTTGGCACGCTCTGACTTTGGAGGAACTTGAATTCACCGTTTACTGAATGCAGTGCCCAGAAGCTGTGGTGTGACCCATGAGGCACTGCCCTCCCGGGGATCAACAGGTAACAGCACAAGCACAGGAAGAGCAGAATGAGGAATCTCGCCAAGATATTTCTACCGTAGGGAGTGTGTCACTGCGCGTTTCCTGTAACGGATGCAGTAAACTGTGGGGGAGACTGGAGCCAACAGGCCTTTGCTGCAGTTTGTGCTAGGAAATATCTTGAATTCTGGCTCAGAGAGGGCCTGAGAGGTGGAGCCGTTCTGTTCTGCCCAGCTGCTCCCGTCTCTTCTCCTTTGCTGGTCTGTGCAGACTGTGCTTTGCTCACCGTGACGTCCCGGTCTGTGCTCTGTGTGGGGTCACTGGGACGTGACTGACACGCAAATGGTGTGCTGCGTACCTCCAGCAGTTCTGGCCGCCTAATTATCTCAGCTAATGCTAGGCTTGGGAATTGTAACTGTTTCCTGGTTTTTATCACTCTTTCAGTAAGCGTTACGGTGTCGTGCAGCCAGCAGGGACCAATCATGTAAATGTGCCTTTAGCTTTACTTGTGTAGGTCAAACTCCCTGTGTGTGCGTGTCTGCTGTATCAGACCCTGAACGTCTGCAAAGAGGCTGGGAGGCTGTGCTGTGATAACAGCAGCATGTCCTTCAGATGTTGGTGTGTTGCTGATGTGAAAACACCAGCTTTGCTTCCCCACTGTCCTTGCAGCAGCGAGAGGTGGTTGCTGTTCTCTAGTGATTGTGTAATTGGCTGTGACGCTCCTGATACCTGTTTAATCTCTGAAATTACCATAAAACAGTAGATGCTTCATAAAGCAGAATGTAACAGGATGGGATGTGGAGCATCTCTTGCAAGGAGCTTGTTTGGCTTGTGCCTGCCAGGATCTTCTACTTCAGTCTCACTTGCTCTGAAATGGGGCACAGCAGCCTGTGTTGTGGTTTGTAAATCCCACTATCCATGTTTGACTTTTATAAAACGGAGACCTAAGTGCTTGTTGTTCTAGAGCAATTTGTCAGGCTTTTGCCCTAAAATGCCATATCCTGTGTTTGGCCGTCTCAAATGTGATTTTTCCCTTTTCAGTTGGTTGGCATCTTTCTTGCCTGCTGCCTGTCCCGGTACATCACAAACAATCAGTATGAGATGGTGTAGCTGGCCCCAGCGCATTGTGGCTGTGACCAAGGTATGTCTGTCCAGTGACATAAACCGTGGATGTGCCTGTGCTTATGCGTTAAGTTTACTGCTGGTCTGCTGCAGGCCTCTCTTGGCTTTGCACAGCACTCCTAAAAACAGTATTTAGGCTATGTGGTATTCTCTTTTTGTAGGGAGAGAGTGTGAGGGGGAAGTGACCCCTTCTAGATCAAGGAGGGAGCAGGCTGTTCATGCTGGTCAAGAGACCTGCTCATGCTGCCTTGTATTTGATCTACCTGCTCTTTTGTCCTATTAATCCTGGGCCTCCACCTTGTGCTGCAGTGGACTGTCCCTGACTGCCCCTGTGGTCCCCTCCTGCAGTGTGGCTCTTCCTGGTGAGATGCAGCATGAGCTGGTCATGCCCTGCTCCCCGAGGCTATCTTTGCATCCCTGACCACTGCTGTTTCTCTGCTGCCTGGTTTCTGCTGGGGGGCCTTCAGTGCAGAGACTGGTGCCAAATGCTGATGTACGTGTCATGGAGAAAGCGGGCACCTGCAAAATCATGTCTGCTGCGTAATTTTACGCTGTGTGTACATCCAGGCCTCCAGTGCCGGGAGCCTTGTTTGTTAACTCTTTGTCTTCTGAATTGCAGGGAATTCCTTCCGCTCTCCTGTGTCTCAGGAAAGCGTAGCCATCTCCGGTTTTCCTCTGGACGCTGCTTTGTGGAATCATGCTTTGAATTGACTGATCTTCTTCTCAACTGGCTCATAGAAACGAGTGCAACAGCTGTTCTGTTGCGCTCGGGGACTTGTCCTAACACTACTCTGCTGTACCACTGAGTGGGATAATTAGTGTAGCTGAGGTGGTTACAGTAACTGTGTTCCTCCGGGCGCTGCAGTCCCTGGCTCTTTCCTCAGCTGTGCACTGAAGTGCTGTGTTGAAGCAGACACTGCTGTCGTTCATACTCAGACCTTGCTAGCTGCCTTGGAAGGTGGCCTCGTGGGACTCTCCTGTGCAGCAGTTATCTTATCTGGTGCCTCCACTGGGAAAGCAGTGCTTTCTCTCATCTCTGACCTCTGCTCTTGGCCCTTGAAATCTCATCACAGTTCAGGCTCGCTCACTGGATGTGGTTGCTCTTGAGATGGGGCTGTTGCCCCGTTAAAACACTGCCCTGCCTGCCTGAAGCTCTTTGTTCAGCAAGGTTTCAGCTCGTTCCCAGGTTTTCTCTCATCCCCATGCTGGGTTTTATATCCTTTTTTTTATAGTTGTCCTTTTCTAAGGAGTCTTGTTCCTCTCTTAATCAGGCTCTAGTAATTCTTTGTAAGCTGTAGCAAGGTTTGGTGGTGTAGCTCCTGGTGCCCTTACCCTGGTAGGTGTCCTTGTACTGAGTCAGCTGTGACTTGATTGTCAGTATTATGTGCTGCTTTAACTCGTTTTGTGTGTTGAATAGAACCCTTTGTCCTGAGACACAATAAATATTAAGATATTTTACTCTATGAAACTGCCTTGGCTTCTTTTCTAATCTGAAAGTTCCTCTGCTGAAATAGCTACAAGCAGCAGCAAAAACCTATCTGCAAGGTAATCCGTTCACCCCAGGCCAGCCAGCAACCTCTGGACCGCTGCAGCTCATGTTTCTCAAATGCTCCCTGGTGTACTTGAGCTTACAAACAACCTCTGTAGTTGAATACTCATCAAAAACTGTTGTGTAACACTGCTGAAGCGGAAGGCCTGAAGCATCGCAGCCCAAGAGCTGGGATGGATGAACGTAGAGACCAGAGTTCAGCCCTCATGTAAACGTGTACATCCTCTGCTGTCCCTGCTGCTTTGTGCTGTGGCAGACAAAGCTTGCTTGGAGCAAAGCGCGCTACAGCACTGTTGAAGGTGCCTGTGTACAGAGCCTCTTCCTGGGACAAGAAACAAGGATTTAAGCTTTGTGTTTATTTGGTATTGTCTTCCTTTGGGCAATTTCATCAGCAAGTGACATTTCTGAGCTAGGAACTGCTACACTGAGCATAACGCTTAAAAACGATGGAGTAAAACTCCCTCCTCTGAGCTTGACAGGTATTCAGATCTCAGGCACCAAATAGGCAATGACTGTCGGGGCAGAGTCTGGAGCAGCCTGCCAGCTGCCGGGGCTACATTTTTGCCATTCTGGGCAGGAGGCATGCTTAAAAGGAGTGGTTAAGCCATAAGGATGAGTGGTGGCCTTTCGTCATCATTAGCCCTCTAGCAGACACTGGTCCTGCGCTGGGTGAGCCGCTCCAGTGAAAAATGTGATGTGGTGCAGCAAATGAATAGCTATGGGGCAGTGATGCTTCCTCAGCTTCGGTGCTGGTGGAGAAACTTAAAGGGAACACCCTGAAAGGCTTAGGTCACGTTTAACCTCAGTGAATAAATCAAACTGTTGTCGGCTCCTGGCTGACTGTCTAAAAGCCTCCTGGATTTGGAAGGAGAGGCAGAGTGCGTCAGAGCATTGAAATAGCACTGGAGAGAGATCAGCCGATTGCAATTAATGGATGGACAGAGACCGGGCAGAAGCACATGAGAATGCAGGGCTGCATTCAGATAAACCCATCCCCATCGCAGAGCCTGTGCAGAAGCGAGCGGAGCTGAAGTCATCCCTCTTTGGCTGGATCGTGCTGCCCGGGGAGGCCCATGCGTGCAGGCCTTGTTTGGGCTGCCTGTGGCTCAGCTGTGCTCAGGCAAGCCTTTTCTGCCAGGCTCCTCTGAGCTCTCCGCAGCCTCTGGCAGGTTTGGTGGTTGTCACTGCTCTCGCCTTGGCTGTTGACTGAGAGCACGGTTGCCTGACGGCTGCTTTGTGGCTTCCCCGGGCTGAGCGAGTGGTTCCTGGGCTAGTCCCCAGTTTGTAGGCCAAACCATCACTGCTGGTGACTTCAGTGCCAGGCTCGGCAGAGGGGCTGGAGGCTGCGTACCCCAGAGTACTCTGCTGGGGGCAGGTGTATCAATGTGGGCACACGTGCAAAATACCTCTCTGCTAAGGTCTGGTGCTTTGCAGAAAGGCCTTTGATAGACAGGCTTCTTGAGTAAATTAACCTCGCGGTCTCTTCCTGTCCTATATCCTCACGGAGGCCCGTGGGTGCGGAGCGATGCTTGCCCCTGGGCTACCCCCCGGGCATGCAGCGCACAGCAGCCCTGCGCCTGCTAACGAGGAGGGTGCGTCTGTGCCGAAGGTGTGCCCGAAAGCCTTCCTCAGCCAGGCTAAACGAGGAGGCCCCTCCGCGTGCCAGCACATAGCGCTTGCTTATTGTGCCGTCTTCCTGGGCGAAACTAAAAACAATAAATCCTCAAAGGGGGTGCCCTTAGCCGCTGCGCCCCTGCCTCTGTGGGCGCGTTGCTTCTGCAGCGCGGCAGCGGAGCGGCGTTCCTGCCCATACGCAGAGCCGGCTGGGCAGAGCTGCGGGGCCGGGCCTTTGCCAGCAGAGGGTAGCACGAGGAGCCCGGATATTTCAGAGCCGCTGCAGCAAAAATCCAGCACTGACTTTTTCCCTTTGATGCTCCGGGGAGCGAGGAGGCTTGTGCCTGGGGCTGGCAGGCAAGGGGCACTGCGGTGATGAGAGGGTGGAGATTTTTTCTATTTACATGCAGTTGGTACTTGAGTAGACACCTTGCTTTAATTTGGAGATAGAGGCTGAGGAGAGCGCGTCGGCGCGCGCTGAGGGAGACGCTGGGCTGCAGGGCTGGGGGCAGCCTTTGTGCAGAGCATCCCCAGGCCCCCTCTGCGGGGACGGCGTCTCCCTTGGCAGCGGGACCCCGGGGCGCGGGGCAGGCCGCATCCTTTCCCTGCATTACCCCGTTAGCAGGTGGCAAAGCCAGGCTCCACGCCCGCCCTCGGCGGT